GATTACAGCCAAGAATCACCTAGGTAGCAAAACTGAGTATAATCCTTCTGGGGGGAAAAGTAGACATTCATTGAAACAGAGGACTTTCAAGCATTCTTGATGAAAATACCAGAGCTGAATAGAAAATTCGACTTTCAGATACAAGACTCAAGAGAAGCATGAAAAGGTAAACAGGAAAGAGAAATCATAAGGGACTTATTAAGGTTGAACTGTTTACATTCCTACATGGAAAGATGATATTTGTAGCTCATGAGACCTTTGTCAGCATTGGGGTAGTTGCAGGGAAAAAAAAATTACATGTATAGATAGATTGATACATAGAGGGCACAGAGTGAGTTGAAGATGAATGGGTGATATCTGGAGAATAAAATTAAAGGGTGAGAGAGGATTATACTGGGAGAAGGAGAAAGGGAGAGGTAGAATGGGGTAAATTATCTCACATGAAACAGACAAGAAAAGGCTTTAACAGTGGAGGGGAAACGGGGGAAGTGAGAGGGAATGAGTGAATCTTACTCTCATCAGATTTGGCTTAAGAAGGGAATATCATACATACTCAATTGGGTATGGAAATCTATCTTACCCTACAGGAAAATAGAGGAGAAAGGGATAAGAGAGCAGAAGGATGATAGAGGGGAGGGGAGATTGGGAGAGGGGGTAATCAGAAGCAAACACTCCTAAGGAGGGACAGGGTCAAAAGAGAAAATAGAATAAATGGGGGGGCGGCACAGGATGAAGGAAAATATAGTTAGTTTTTCACAACATGACTTTTATGGAAGTGTTTTGCATGACTACACACGTATAACCCGTATCAAGTTGCTTGCCTTCTCAATGAGTGTGAGTGTGTAGGGAGAGAGGGAGAAAATTTGGAAAATTGTTTTCACATGCAACTGGGAAATAAGATATAGAAATCTAACCTGCCCTATAGGAAAATAGAAGGGGAAGAGGATAAAAGGGTGGGGGGGGGGATAGAAGGGAGGGCAGATTAGGAGAAAGGGTATTCAGAATGCACTCCATTTTGGGGTGGGGAAGGGACAAGATGGGGAGAAAATCTGGAACTCAAAAGCTTGTGGAAGTGAATGTTGAAAACTAAAAATAAATAAATTAACAATAAAAAAATAAAAATAAAGTAGGGTGGGAGAGCCTCACATGTTTTTCTTTAAAGGATTAAAGTTGTCCTTCCATAGATTAAAACTAACCGTGATTATTATGATGTGCTCAAGAAAATCCCTTTAAGTACAAAATGGAAATAATTTTGATGAGTGGAAAGAATGTAAGAAATATATCTACAAGATATATTTTCAAGAGCTAGAAAAGATTGTTGAAAAGCAATTTTCAGGTCTATCAATAATTTTTTTTCCTGACCTCCTCAAATTTTCAAGCCTGACTATTTAACTTTAACTGTACTGACTTTAGTGATACCCTTTTTCACCCTTTTTCAAAATGACAGATGGTTTTTCTCCAACCATTTCCAACAAACATTTCTTGGGCAAACACCCTTCTTTGATCAAAGCTAAGCTTCTCCTATCACTGAAGCCCACAAGGATGGCAATGCTAAAGATTCCAAGAGAGCACAGGGGTGATTATCAGGCATTTCATTTCAGTTTCTAAGAAAACTCACATAGTGAACTCTGAGGGTTCATCCACTAAAAGGATGATCGTATGTAGTGAGCCAGAAGACCCTATTTTATCACCTACCATGTTCAATGTATGTATGAAGTCATTTAGAGAAATAGTCAGGCATTTGGGGGCCATCATATCTTTTTTATCTGACTCTGACAGCTCAATCTCACCACCTGTCCACCGCCTGACAGATCTGGGGGCTGAGATCACACAAAACTGGTTGAGATTCAACCCATAAAAGGCAAAAGTGATGCTGGTGGACAGGAAGCAATAAGTGCATAATGAGGCGAGTCCTACATTTAAGGCTTCATCTCTCACGCAGCCTCATAGTTCTCTGAGATTCCTAGCTGCTTCTGGAGTTTTCAGGGGCAGGAAGAGAGAAGTATTTTTCTATATATGTTTATCACAGACTGTGGCACCTTCTTCCAGCAGGAGTGTTGCCACTTTTCTAAATGCCTTTCTTTCTAGCCTCCAGGTGGGATTTCCACAAAGCATTTGAGATGCAGTATGCCCAAGACCAGGCAGGCTATGATGGAAAACACGACTTCACAGGCAGCAATAATGTACCTGTTTTCTATTGTTTGCACTGTGCTATTTGACATTTGCTTCTGAATATAACTACAAGGGCGAATTTGAATTTATAAACACTAATAAAATAATAAAGAAGCCACAGATCCATGCCCATTTCTTTCGTGTGTGTGTGTGTGTGTGTGTGTGTGTGTGTGTGTGTTCTCTTAATAATAACTATTGTACTCCCATTCATAGTTGCTGTGTTGTCAATTTATGGAGGTAAAGAAAAAGTACTTTCTACAGAGAACCAAATCTCTGCCACCTGAATACTCCAAAGATCTAAATTTTGGTTACTTTACGTGATGGTAGAAGATCTTTCTGGTTAAGCTGCACTAAAGCAAGGTGATGGGAATAGTGCTATGCAGCTTTCTTCTTAAGTCTTAATCATCAGGGCTGCAAAATCTTCAGCAATGCTTCAGCTAATGTGATATTTAAAACAGCCTCAAGGTATAAGTATAAAAAATAAGACATTTCTTCTAGAAATGCAAATGATTTAATCTCCACTGCAGAGAAGAATAACTCAAAATTCTCTATCTACTCTTAAATATAACCCTCAATGACAAGTGATTTGGTTCAGAATAATATTATTACATCTCATTAAATGTTAAGAATAGGGCCTTGAATGCAATCTATCAGTGCCTCCCTGTTTTCTACATCTCCCATTCCCAAAACTCTTACGTGAGTTTCCCTGACTCTCCTTGACCCTAGGCTCCATCCAGATCCCCACAGACCTTAAACGTAGCCCCACTTATTCTCCCTGAGTACAGATCATTCCATGTGATTACTTAACATCCTCTTCTCTCCCAGCCCTAGATCACCTTATACCACAAGCATTTGACATTTCTTAGTCATAGATTTAAAATACCAAAAACTGAGGTGAAGGGGAGGGAAAAGAACTATCCGATTGTGAAAAGGGAGGGAAAAGACAGCTTTATTGAAAACTCATTTGCAGCCACTAACAATTAACCACATAAAAAACAAATGAAAGATGCCAATAAGTTGTTCTAATGGAAGATCACAGAAAACACCAACATGGCTTCATCAAGAACAAGTCACGCAAGAGTAAATTCATTTCTTTCCAGATGGTATTACTAAATTATTAGATGAGGAGAATGCTGTGTATGTAGGTTACCTAGGTTTTAGCAAAACTTTTGATAAAGTATCTTGTACTATTCTTGTAGAGATGATGAAGACATATGGATTAGGCAATAATAATACTGGATGGATTCAGAACAAGGTGGATGAACAGACTCAAAGAGCAGTTGTTAATGGTTCAGTAAGAATGTGGCAAGGGGTCTCAAGTGGAGAGCTTGGGGATCTGTGCTTAGCCCCAAGAGGTTGAACAGATGGTATGTGTTAACAGATGTGATAGCATTTTCAACAAAATGGCTGATGTCCCAAAGCTATGAGGGACAGCTAACACATTGAATAAGAGGGTCAGGGTCCAAAAGGATTTTGATAGGATAAAGCACAGGACTCAACCTAATGAGATAAAATTCAATAGGGATAAATGTAAAGTCTTGAACTTGGGTACAAAAAAATTATCTCCATCAATATAATATGGGAAAGGCACAGATAGGTAGAAGTTGTTTTGAAAAGAATCTGGGAGGGTTGATGGCCAGGCCAACATGAGGCAGTAGCTAACGTGATAGTGGGCTACATTGCTCCCAGGAATAGGAAGGCAATGGGCCTGCCGTCCTCTATGCTCTTAATATCCCACCTGGAGAACTGTGCCTAGTTCTAGGCAGCATGGTTTAGAGAGGACTTAGAGGAAGGCAATCAAGATGGCAACAGGCCTTGGGCCCATGACACACAAGAACTGGTTCAAGGATCTGGGCATGGTGAGCGTGGAGAAGAAAAGCCTGAAGGGGGCCATGATAGTTATCTTCAAGTATCTGAAGGGATGCCGTCAGAAGAGAAATCAGATAAAAGAAGGAGTAGCAATAATAGGAATAAGTTGGAAAGAAACAAAGCGTGGCTTGATATCAGGAGACTTTTCTTAATAACTAGAGCTTGCAAATAGTACAGTAGGAGGTAGTGAAAGGTGGTAGGCTTCCCCTCCTCAGAGTTCTGGATGAGCACTCATTTAGTATGGCGTGCACAATGGTGATTCTCTTGGTGGTAAGGCTGGACTGGATGGCTACTGAGGTCCAACTCTCAAGTTCTTTGTATAAGTCTTACATTTCAGTATACAATGAGCATCTTGGTGTTCTTGGCCTACATTCTCTACATCTAAGGTAATTTCAGGGTGTTGGGGTGGGTGGGCTTCTAACATAGACCTTGCAATATATCTAAAGTAAGTACTCAGACACATTCCAAGCCACTGGGCCAACGCCAAAACTCCCAGGATGTATCCATTGGAGTTTTTATGTTCCAGAGCGTAAGATATACAATCTAGGCGTTTAGCTGGCAGTCATCATAATAAACTGGGCACACGTAAAAGTGGCCAGTGCAATGAGACTCCTCAAATCTCACTAACGGCAACATTCCAGGCTCTTATTGCTGTCCCCAGGGCTTACTCAGGGAGTTCTCCACCATGTCTGCCATTTCCCAGGACTTTCCCCAGTGCCAAAGGAGCTAACTTATGATCCCAACACATTATAGAGTACTGAATGTCTAGAAAAAACTGGTTTTCTAGTACTATGTGCATTACCTGAAGGCTCTAAAGTCTGTGGAATAATTCAATCCCAAGGCCCACTCTAAAAAATAGATATCAAATCATCAATGTCAAATGTCTTGATTGCTATAATGACTGTCACAACTACCAACTGAAATTTACTGAAGCAATTCTTGCAGGGGAGAAGTCTTACCTTGCTTGGCAACTTAGAAGCAACATCTCTCGATTATGAAGCAAAACATACAGAAGGACCAGAAAAGCTTTTGCTCGAATGGAAGTTGAAGGACTGTCAAACAGACGGATAACGGTGGTAACAAAGTCCTAAAGAAGAGAGATGAAAATTATGGAGAAAATAAAAAATTGATATTCTTTCAGTTGGAATAGTGTTGATTATCAAGAAAAAGATTATAGAGGAGTAAAGGCTGGGTTCAAATTTATTGGTACAGTCACTGAATGAAATCTTTGGGCAAAATAGATGATGCTCCCATTTTAGCAGGGCCTTCGGAGCTGGAGAAATTTAGTGAAAATAGTGAGATGCAAAATACCTTACACAGACATCTGCACTGAAGGGCACTTCACTTGTTCTTTTGGAGTGACTGCCCAACCCTGGGTGACAATATATTACTCTTTCTTCAAAAAAATGAATTTTTGGAGCTCTAAGTACTCATCCCTCAAAAACCTGTCTTTCTTATTGTTCTTATGAAGTTCTTATGCAAACTTTTATTTATTTATTTTTTTGTGAAGAAGCACAATGAAGAGAGAGCCTCTAAGGAAGCTTCTAGTCCATCTGAAATCAAAATCTATGTCTACATCTGGAAAAGTTATTTTCATTGCTCTCATAAGCCCAGTCCACTGGGCACCCAATGACAAACAGATCTAAGATGCAGTGTACTGAAAACTCACATGGGTGACATACTGGGCTTTAAAAAAATTAAAAATCAAAAGACTATTTGGCCTTGGAAATATTTTCCTTTAAAAGGAAAATTGAGCTGGCCCATTCTTCCATTACCACTTCTGTCCTTCTGATTACCAATGTCTTTCTGAGGCCTTTTCCATGCACAAATACTCCATTCTTGAAATGTTCTTTCCATAGCTTTCATGACACTGGATTTTCCTACTTCTCTTCCAACTTCTCTGACTTCCTTCTCTTTTTCCTCCTTCTCCCCCCTTACTCTGACTAATGCTCTAAGCACACTCTATTTCCAGTTCTTTGCCCTTTCTCTGATATTCATTTTGAGAGTTGTTCCTTTCTTACAGCCTTAATCTCTAAGCTAATAACTCCCATATTGACATCTACGGACATGACTTGTCTAGTCCCTATGTTTCCAAATGTCTATAGGCCATCAACACTGATATAAATCATAACCCAAGGGAACCTAGGATTCCCTGAGGGAAGGGACTATTTTGCTTAGTACTGTGCATGGCACAAAGTAAGGATCTAATACATGGTTTCCATTCATTAATCCATTCATTCATTTGCTGGGCCAGGCCAGTAGAAATCAAGAACTGGAGACAAGTAGCATCTGATGTATGAATGTTAGAAATTAGTATCCTATCAGTATCAAGAAGAGCCTTAGCTTAAAAGACATCCACAAAAGGACTGAAACAAATGCTTAAACTATTAAATATTTATCAATCAGCTATCCTGGTCTTCCGGCCTCTCTGACCCACTGGTCTATTAGCTTAGTAAATTGGTCTCTGCTTTATCTCTGGTTCAAGCGGTATTCTTCTCATTGGTTCATCCCAACATTACTTCTCTGGCTCCCTCCCCTTATTTGCTCTCTCATTTTTTGGCTTCTTTAAGCCTGGTTCAGGTCTGCTCATTATGGCTGCCAGTTCTATCACTTACCCTTACACTCCTAAATCAAAAAACTTCAGTAGTTCCTGGCTGCGTATATGATAAAATGCAAACTCATTACCTTGGTCTCCAAGGCCCTTGAGAATCTAGTCCCTATCAGCTTTAAGAGACTTATGGTATATCACACTAATCCTCTCTACATGCTTTACATTCTAGCCAAACTGGCCTCTTAACCATTCTCAGAGCTCCAAACGCCATCTCCTGCATAGGAACACTCACATGGAAAATCCCTCAGGTCTGAAATGCACTATTCCTTATCTCTGTCCTTCAGAACAGTTTTCTTCTATTAGGTTCAACTCAGATGTTATATCTTCTGTGAGGCCCTTCCTCACTGCCCCTAGTTTTTAGGGTTCTTTCCCTCTTCAAATGACCATGGACCTGTGAAAACGCAAGTAAGTCCTTCCCTTTTCACCAACACATGCACTTGTCATATGCCAAGCACACAGAAATTGAGCAAAACTCATTTATGAAGGACTCCCAGGCCCATACAAAAGAGGGAACCTGACTCTGGAAAAAAGAGGGAACACGCAACACACACATATAGAAGTAAAGATGGAGCCCCACAACAACAAAACAAACCCGGTGTGGGCAAAACACAGAAAGATGTTGTGAAATTAACCAACAAGCACTTACTATGCATTTACTATGTACCAGGCACAGTGAAAAATACCTGGGAAACAAAAGAAAGGCAAAAACGGTCCCTGCCTTCAAGGGGTTTGCATTCTAATAGGGAGATAACACAAAAATAGTCATACACAAGATACACACATGGTACAAGGCAGGAAACATTAGAGAGGAAAGCTCAGGCGGCTATGGGGGCCAGCAAAGGCTTCCTACAGAAGGCAGTTTTTGAGCTGAGTCTTACAGGAATCCAGGGATGTCCAGAGATAGAGATGAGGAGAGGGTGTTTCAGCCAATGCTACAGCACAGAAACAGGAGAGTGTCATGTATGAGGAATAGCAAAAAGGCCAGTGTTGTCGGATCATGATACAGGTAGAAGGAAGTAGAATGGAAGAAAACTACAAAAGTAGGAAAGATCAGATTGAGAAGAGCCTCAATATACGCCAAACAAAGACTTTATATCTGACACTGGAGGAAATAGGGAGCTTCTGGAGTTTACTGAGTAAAAGGAGAGGTGACAAGCCACACACCGATGTTCCCAGGGTTTCTCTGCATGGTGACACATACAAACTAGAGAGATTTTGCAAAACATCCCTCCAAACCGTACCTACAACTGTGATGTTGGGCATTACATAAAGACTACCCTGGTATTACACTTATCCGTGAAATAAAGATACCAGAGTAGAAACAGTGCCCAATATGGTGTCTTTTAAAAAAAAAAGTTGCTAAATGACAGTATTTTAAAAGAGGTTTTGGGTGTTTTTTGTTTTTTTTTTTTTAAATACAGTCTAGGATGTCAAGGTCCATTTGAAATTTTCCCAGAGAGATATGACCTTCACATTGTGAAAGAATCTTGTACAATAAACTATTAAAATATAAAGCAGCACTGTGGGAAAATGATCAGAACTGACAACCATAGCAATCAAATCATAGAAATTTCTAAGTTTCTAGAAATCCCAAAATCATCACAGCAAGGAGAAAAGTTGGCAAACATGAGTTTTTTGTTTCTTTTTAAAGCAAGAAACAAAAGCCATTGTAATGAGGCTAGACGAACCCCAAAAAAGATTGCCTGGACTAAACATATTGTCATTCAAGCTAGATTAAGTATTTAATTACATTAATTCATATTGTATCTCCTGAAAGATACTACAGAGTAAACAAGCTACTTACTAGGACTATCTGTACCTGAATTTATAGTGCATTAGACTCTTTTTAATACGGCAGTACCTACCAATGCAGCAAAAAAGAGTCTTCACAAGCCTGAAAGAGTTAATGAATTTTTTTCAAGTATTTAATTTTCAAGTGCTAAAATAATTTGACCTGAAAGAGCAAAATGCAGCTATGAAAGCACTCTTCTAACACAGTGTCTTGTGTATAAGTTAAGATCAAACAAAATTTCTAGATACAGAACAGATATATATAGTATACAACTACAGATAACTCTGTCCAACAATCCTCCGATTATCATCATCGCATAAGGCATAAAACAGGGAGGCATGTGCTCACCCCCGGCACTTGGGTCTGTCATGGAGGATGGCTTCTGGAAAGTCCAAGTGGAAGAGAGATACTCTATAACAACTGAGATGTTTTCTAAATGTTCCTATTTCTGGATGATAATGTGCTGATCACTTTACAGTCCTACGACGACACAAGTCCTCCTCAACAAAGCCCACAAACCCTCTGAGAAATCAATTGGACATAAAATGCATGTTGTCTACCTTAAGACATGTAGTTAGATAAGCAGCGATGAGAGAGCACATCAAAACACTTATCTTCAATGGGTCCTGTATGGACAATGATCTGGGCCCAGAACTAAGTAGGCTGAAGTCAGACTGGATTATGTATAATGCTTCCAAGGATTCCAACCTGATCCCTCCTGCAAAAAGTCTACCTTTTTTAAATAATATAATCCTGGTAAATGTTATATAGATGCTAATCTTGGAATGATCAATCAATCAATATTCATTTATTAAGTGCCACCCATATGCTAGGCACTCTGCTAGGCTGGGAATATAAATGCAACAGCAAGAATCCCTGCCCTCAAGGAGCTTCCATTCTACTCTACCACAATCTCCAAAGAATCCAAATTATAAGTAACTCAAAGGACAATGGAAAGACATGTGTCGTTTCAGGGAGACTCAGTATATTCCCAATGATGAAATGCATGTGGGAAGTGCTATATAAAACATAAAGGATGATGCATAAGCCTGGAAAATGAGGCACTGCAGTCATTTTCCAAGGGCAAGGAACACAAATGGATACTCTGAAAGTTGAACTGCTATCTATGAAACATTTTTAAAAAGAAGGCCTTCAATGTGCTAGGTAGACACTCTGAAGAACTGATGGAAGACTTTGGACAACAACACAATGAAAAGGTATTAATGGATTGCCATTTGTATTATAAGAGGGAATGTCCACATCTGGAAGACTGCAGATCCTATGAACTAACAAAATAACACATGTGCTACCTGTGAGGGTCAAATAGGTAAGCGTTTTGTAAGCCCTACATGAAAGAGATGCAATATAATGCCGATTTTTTTTGTTTGTTTCTGCATAGGGAGAATAAAAGTCATTTCTACTTTTCTGCAAACTTATAGTGTGTCCAAAAGGAAGAAGTTAATCGTATCAAATATGTGCTGTTTACTCCATAGTCTCAAGAGCTTTCTGCCGGGACACCACAGCACAGAAATTGGGACATTCTTTACTTAATTTGCTTCATGTTTATGTATTAGAAGACTTATAGATAAGGCCTGATGCAGCAGACACTCAGCCTGCAATACCCCTATCAACTTCAATGAAGTTTGGAAGCCTTTATTTTTCTCTCAAATGTTCATATTTATAG